TTTACCTATAATTCTTGGAGGCACAATGAGTCCTTGGGAAGTCAACCTGCTCCTTTAAGACTATTCCTACTGTCCCTGAGGGCAAATGACCATAAACTCCAATAGATATTTTATAACACCAAATTTTTGAGGATAGTGTAATGTTTATCTATGGCCAACTCTAGAGCAGCACTGCCTGCAGAAACAAACATTAGATCTACAATAATTAGTTGAGGTTTTTCTGCCTGCTTGTTATTTGCTGGGTAACAAGAGGGAAACAGCACGTAATTTTGCTGTGGGGCTTTGAGATAGGCTCCTCAGTTCATTTCCCGATAGCAAGAACTTGCCTTGGATATCATACTTACTGGTCCAGTGGCAACCCCGGCCACATCGCCTGCACACCCTTGAAAATTTAGGCCTTCTTTCTGATTTATGTATTAGAAAAACCATTGCCCTTAGATATGCGTTGTTCACAATTTTGTTTCAAATGTCCATCTTTCCCACAATTAAAACACGGGCATTGTAATATCAGAGACCTCTAGCTATAGTTTGACCTATTATATTGACACGATATATGTTAGAACCAATATCATTTGTATTCTTTATCTATTCTTCGAGGCACTACTTGTCCCTTCAGTGGTCTTATGGCATTCTTTATAATCTACATTTGCATTTTTGAATGCTAGGGTTTCTGTCAACACTGGTCTTATGTCAGGGTCTGATATAGTCTTATTTATTGCTGAAATGAATCCTTGAAAAAAAAAATCAGTGAAGGCTTCTCCAGAGCCTTGTATAATTTTTGTAAACGATGTAGACTTTTTTCCTGGCTCCTCAACTTTGTCTCAGATGCCCTTAAAGCTGATAAACTATAGTGTTCTACGATTACTTCAAGTTGAACCTGTTCTTGTTTATTAGCATATCAATCTTCACCAATTAATGCTTCCTTATTATATTAATCCCCCCTCACACTACTGCGCTGTTCCAAATTCCTGGCTTCTCTCCACCACGAACTGGCTCTTAACAACAGGGAAATATAGTATGGTTTATTTTGTGTGCCTGGCCCTTTAAAGGACCCTAAGCCCTTCAGTGTCAGTTGCCTCTTGGACTTCTGGGTAAAAAGCCAACAGAGGCTGAGAGCTGGTAAGTATGACTGAGGAGTAGGCAGGAGTAGGGTACAGGAGACAGAAGAGTATGGTCAGAGAAGACGGTTCAAGAAGGAAAAGAGTAGGGCTAAAGAGAAGAGAAGAGATTGAGCAAAGTGAAAAGGAGAGATGGGTGAAAGTGAATTGGGCCAGCAGAGTGAGAAGACAGTTGGTGACGGTTGAGCCAGGAGAAGCTGAGCGGAGCCAGAGAAGACATTGTTAGGAGACAGGAGAAGAACCCACAAAGTAGCTGAAGAAAATATAAAGACTAAAAGCTACAAACTTGTCTCTGGTATACATGACCTCTGACATTTTGAGCCTGGCTGCCAGGTCTCTAAGGGTGGGGCCACTGGGCCTGTTAGTTCCTGCTGTCTGTCTGAGAATGAGCTCACCTGCCTGTCAGAGCTTGGGTGGCAGGAGTGGCCCTGCTTGTCCTAGGAATTCTGGATATGAACCATGCACAGCAGAGGACTCTGCTTTAAAATGCTTCATGTGATCCCATGAAGAATACAGAGGCGGATGGGTACCCCACCCCTGCGTTACTACCTAAGAGCACTCTGTCTCCAACAGCCTACCCCTGGACCCAGCTCCTCACAGTGCCTATTTGCACACTGGTATTCAGGAGACCCTCCAGCTTCTTCCATTACCGGGGATCCCCAGAGGCTCAACCCAGTCACTGCTACTCTCAAAGAGAAGAGAACCACATCATTAGGCTGGAATTGGGTGAGACCAGAAAGGAACCTAGCAACAACATTTAAGAAAATCTTCATTGTTAAGGCTATCAAAGGGGAAGGGGGTGTCTTAAAAATGAGACTTCATTAGCCAGGTGTGGTGGTATATGCCTGTAATCCCAGGATTCTAGGAGGCAGAGACAGGCATATCTCTGTGAGTTCAAGGCCAGCCTGGTCTACAAAGTGAGTCCAGGACAACCAGGGCTACACAGAGAAACCCTGCCTCAACATAAACAAAAAGAGACTTCATTACTTTTTTATGTCCCCGAAGTCTGGTCCTGGCCCTAAGGCTTCAGTTTCTGCCTGGTTCATTCTCCACCAGCCCTAGCACTTGTTTGGCACAAATCATGGCCCTCTTCCTGATTCTCAAGCTCCTCAGGAAGCTCTTGGAGCTGCATACCAAAGTCAGCCTATAGGCCAAGTGGGGCCTGGACTAGATCTTTTTAGATTTAGTAAGATAATAACTCTTGCCCTGCTTAGTCAGTTAAAAAATACACTCAGGAACCAAAGAGATGGTTAAGTAGGAAAGACAGCTTGCTGTACAGGCATGAGAATCTGAGTTTGGGTTTCCTAGCACCCATGCAAAGCTGGGTGTGGCTGTGTGCGCTTGTAAGCCCAGCACTGGGTGGAGTAGAAAGGACTGTTGGGGTTTGCTGACCGGCCAGCCTAGCTGCTAAAAGGCAAATTCAAGAGAGATACTTTCTTAAGGAAACAGGGCAGAGAGAGATAGGACATAGGACGTCCCCCTCGTGACTTTATACACATGTATACTTTATACATGTGTGTGTGTGCACACAAAAATAATCTTCTTCTAAGAACTAGAAGAACAAACAAACCCCACCACCATCTGTATTCTCTTGAGTTAAACAAATTGATTTCTCATGTTTCTTTTTAATATTTCTAGAAAGGACTAGACAAAATGATCTAACAAACTTGAAATCAGGTATACGTTCTGAACTTTTGTTTTTTTTTATTTAGGCTTGGTCCCCCATTTCAAAATGCACCGAGGCATCCTAGTCTTACTTAGTGGACAGAGGAGCCACAGCACAAAGGAGAAAAAGCCAGGGTTGAGAGATGACTCTATTTACAGAGCACCTGTATTATTCAAGTATTCTGCCTACTTGTTGCATCTCTTGGTACTAGATCTGGAGGCACCTTTGGTACAAGGTAAAAAGAAGCCTACTGAAGGAGGACCACCCACATCCATGTTCACATGCTGGAATGAATTTTACTGGGATCCTAAATCTCTCTAAGGCTGTGCTGTCTTCCAGGATCTGTCTGGGGAAACCCCCAGATCTCTTGAGGTCCTTGTTCTGGTGAAGCTCCTGTAATTGGATGAGGGCCAGGGATGAGGAATCAAATACCATAGAGTTGGAGATAGTGACCAATTCTGTCCCCAAGTGGTAGGAATGAGAAGCCAGACCTAGCAAGGCTCAGCAAAGGATTTTTGGGGCTAGTTGGGTTTTCCCATGTATTCAGCCTCCTTGTTCCGAGAATGTTAAGAAAATCTTTATCTGGAAGCCACTCAGAATAAGAATGTGGACCCAAAGCCTCCTGAGCAGAGTGTCTGCAGGAATGCTGTTAGGCCCTCACAGGACATGGATCAGGGGCATTATTTCCTATCTGTGGGCCAGATAGCTGGACCCAAGAAGCTCTGCTGCCCTTGTCTGGGCAAAACAAGGATGTTGTTCTTCCACTTGTCTGCCAGAGCTTGGTTTCTGTACTTATGGTCATGCCAGCTCCCATTGCTGTGTCTCATCCCTGCTGGATTCCCACTGCTGCTTTGTACGGGCTACTTGCCCACCCCTCCCAACATGCTAACAAGGCTCACAGGTGATGGGCAACTGTGTGGCTAGAAGGAGGTCACAGGGCAGATCAGATCCATCTTCATACTGAGAGGCCCTCATCACAACATCCTGTCCTAGAAGACTGTTCACTGGCACTTCACCCACATCTGCACCAATCCATAAGCAGAAACAGCAGGCAGATTACTAGACAGGATGGATCTTCCTAATAGGATTATGCTCAGACTATTCCAGAGGATATCTGCTATTCCTACTGGACCTAGGTAAGAAAGCTCCCTTTCAATCAGACGAAACAGAGGTGGAAAGATGGGGAAAGACAGAAGTGTAGGGTCATTTTCTCTTCCCAGGAGTATAAGGTCTAGGAGGGGTAGTGAACTGAAGATGGCCTCCAAGGAAACATGCTGCTCCTTTCCAGGACTACGGTGAAAGACCCACAGAGAGTCAGTGGGATGACCACAAAGAATGTCTAGTGAAAAGTGAAGTTCCGAGGTTTCTAGTCTTCTTTTTATTCCCAAGCACTCTTCAGGCAGCGCAGAGTTTAAAGAAACAAGCAACTGAGGGGCAGAAGCCTTGGCCTCCACATGCCACTCAGGCTTTTCTCCATTCTTGCCAGCATAAGAGACTAGTGTGCAGGAGGGAGTGCTCAGCAGAGCCTGAGATGCGCCAGATTTGGCTTGCAGAAGGTCAAGTAGGTGGCATCTAGAAGCCTCCATCCTCCAAAGGCTCCCTCTGAATCAGGATGACCTGTCTTCAGGCCATCATTTACTAGCTTTGCGCTCTGGCCCTCACTGCCTAGATGTGAACAGCAGATTCCAGTTTCCAACTTGACACAAACATGGAACCACCTCTGCAAGCCAGAGCTGCTGGTCCAGCAGGATCTGCGGTGTACACAGCCCGCTGCCAGGCAACAGAATAGGGCTCGATGCCACCCTCCGAGGGCCCGGCAAACTGTTCTGGCGTCTTAGGACTATCAGGGATGAGCTTGTGCTTCACATCCGCCTACTCTCCCTCTTCTTCCGTGCATTCGTTAGGCCCTCCACTTATTCTGAATGGCTGCCTAAAAGAAGGGCAGACAGACTCTGGGAAGCTATTCCTGTCAGTCAAAGACCCTGAACTGCAAGCCCCGTTCACACTGACCCAGTGAAATTTAGGATTCTGGGTTCCGGCCTACTCTCTTCGAGGTGCTCTGGGGGCGGGGCGCACTTCCTCCCCAGACAGCGGCTTCTCCCTCCAGGATGCCAGGAGGGCAAGTCGCGGCACCCGCAGGCCGCTTCTTCTAATCAGGTCCCCTCCCGCAACAGGACACTCCCTTGAAGGCCGCTCCGGCCTAAGCCAGCTCCTACCGGGCTCCAGCAGATGAGCGCGTCGGTGTCCGGGTCGCTCACGAGGGTCCAAAGCTTGGTTAGGAAGGCCGGGACGTTGCTGGGCCCCGCTGCACCGGGGCCCACGGCCAGATCCATCTCGGACGAAGCAGGCAGAGGCTGGGGTGGCGTTCTAGAAGAGTGGCCGAAGGCTGAGCTAGTGTCGTCTCTGACCCTGCTGTCCGGGCCGCTTCGCTGCCCGCTGCGCGCACATAGCAAGGCCTCGCATGGCCGCAGCCATCTTGCGACCGGCGCGCTCTGGCCAGGGCCAGGCCTGTATCCCATGTGCGCAGGCGCCGTGATCTGCCCCGCCCACCTCACAGGCCCGGCCCTTGGGTGGCTCGCCGCACTGTACGCCTGCGCAAGATAGCTTCACTCCGGGTGTTCACCAATCAGAGCCTGATTTGGGCGGGGCCTAGCTGAGGGCACACGAGGAGCTTTCGCTGCCGGAAGCGGCAGTCTATCGGTGTAGCCGGCGCAGTGCAGCATGGCGGGGGCGTGTGATAAGCCCCACATGTCACGGAGCTCTCTGCCAGGGAAGCGGCATTTGGAACCTGATCAGGAGCCGCAGCCACAAGAGGTAACTTCGAGGTAGCAGGTTGCATCCTTCTGTGAATGAGGCGTGCACGTGGCATGGCCAGGGAGGCCGGGCCGTAGCGCAGTGTCTACTGTCTTGCGGGTCGCCTAGAGCCCGGAAGAAGCTCGTCCTGTCTGGGCTGTTATTTGGAACTCTCAGCAGAGCACTACCTGCGCTGAGGGGCGATAGAACCCAGGGGTAGTTCTGTGTCTTGAACCATGTTAAAGGAGAGACCTTTGAGAGTGCCGCCACCACAGTCTCTGAACCTTACATCTGTGCTTCCAGCCCTAGAAAAGGTTTTAACTGCGCTCGTGCTGGGCTACCATGCCAGTATGTCAAGTGTGTTGTGAAACAAAAGAGGACATGAGAATATAGAAGCCTGAATGGAACCCAGGACCATCCAGCACTGGTTGCCACGGAATCCTTCCTTGCTGCTGATCTCTCTAGGCTTCCTAGTGGGGCTTCATTAAATCTAGGTGGTAAAAGGCGTGCACAGCTGTGTCTTACAGCTGCCTCCACTTAATTGGATTCTCTCAGGCTTAGAGTTCTCAACCTTCCTAATGCTGCGACTCTTTTAATACAGTGCCTTATGTTGTCTTGACCCCCATCCAATAGTTATTTGGTTGCTACTTCATAACCCTAATTTTGCTACTGTTATGAATCGTACTGTAAATATCTGATGTGCAGGATCGCGACCCACAGGTTCAGAATTGCGCAGGCTGTCTTTGGTGAAATGTACCTAAGCTGCTTCCTACATGCAGTTATAGGTAGTTAGGCCCTTAGTAGTCAGTTGTTTGTGCTCTAGCTGTTTGTACTACTTTTACTTGTTACTGTGATGTGTAGCTGAGTTTTAGAGATGTCAATAATAAGAGACTGTCAGTATTCTTTGGAAACTCAGGTGAACAATGTGGAATTGTTAGAAATGAAGGCCACTCAACCAGGCAAGAATTAGCCGGTGGCAGTGGCACACATCTTTAATCCCAGCACTCAGGAGACAGGCAGATGGATCTTTGTTAGCTCAAGGCTAACCTGCTCTACAGATCAAAGTTCTAGGTCAGCCAGGGCTAGACTTTTAGTTTTTCTGGATAGGGTTTCTTTTAGTTTTTCTGGATAGGGTTCTATAGCCCCCATAGAACTTGCTCTGTAGACTATCCATGCTGGCATGAAACTCACAGAGATCCACCTGCTTCTGCCTCTTGAGTGCTGGGATTAAAGGTATTTGCCACCACTTCCCAGCGATACTGAAACTTTGTATTTGAAAACAAACAAACAAAAAAGCATGAATCCAAAAACCAATTAGGTAATACTTAGACTATTGGAAAAACAGTGAAATCGAAATTTCTGCAAGCGCATGCTTCCTCAAGAGTGTTCAAGTTCTTGTTTAACTTTTGGAGGTCATAATGCATGTATGTTATATTGTGTTAGATCTGAAATATCCTGTAGTCAGTAGGACTATACTACGGAATTCTTTTTGCTGTGATGAAACACCATCACCAAGGCAACTTATAAAAGGGAGCATGTAATTGGAGGCTTGCTTATGGTTTTGGAGGGTTAGTCCATGACTGTCATGGTAGAGAGCAAGGCACTAGAGCAGCAGTAAGAGCTTTTAGTAACTAAGAAGTTTCTCACCTGTTGATCAACAGGCAGAGGGTGTGTGTGTGAGAGAGATTCTGGGCCTGATGTGAACTTTTGAAACCTCAGAGCCCTCCTCCAGCAAAGCTGCACCTCCTGCTTTTTCCTAAATAGCCCGCCAGCTGGGAACCAAACATTCAAATATCTGAGTGTATGAGGGCCATTTGCTCTCACACCACCATGTGGGTCTAGCTTGCTACTCTTCGACTTTCCAAGTTGTCCGTCAGTGTTGGGTTCCGGCCTTTTAGGTAAAGAAGCTTTTACTGTAGTTGGTCAAAGCCTTAAGGGATTTCTGATCCTCCCAGGCCTACTGCCCATTCCTTCCAGTTCTAGGACCCTTTGGTGCCCAAGTAGGATGTGGGGGTTGTCAGGAGAGGAAAACTGGTTTTCATGACACAGAGAGAACTGGGCTCCAAAAAGCCAATATGTTCTTGAAAGGTCCCTCTGTTGCAAGACACTAGGGATTGGTGTGTCTGCTCTGAACAGATTCTGTCAACAGAGGCGCAGATAAGGAGGCCTCAGGTTCAGTGGATGGTTTTGGTGCTGGTGGAGGCATGTGACCAGAGCACAGCAGTTTTCTATTTCCAGGTGACAAGTTATTAAACACTGTACTTTCTTGCAGCCCCCTCTCCTCAACGACTCTGACTCCAGTCTCTCTGACAGCGAGGAAAGTGTGTTTTCAGGCCTCGAAGATTCTGGCAGTGATAGCAGTGAGGACTGCCCTGAAGGAGAGGATGGAGCTGACGGTGACAAGGACAGCGATAGAACAGAGCAGACCTCTGAGGAGCAGGCACAGGTGGGTGAGTGAGGAGCCTCCATGGGCTCTCCTGTACATGAGAGCGGCCAGAAAGAGGGTGTGCCTGCCCTGAGAGCTGTACCACATTGTCCTCTTCATGGTGTCCTCAGGAACCTGGTCTTCTCTCCCTCTTCACACATTTCAGCTCTGGTGCATTAGTTTGCAACCTAGGGTGTCTGTGTATAGAATGGGTTTTCTAGAGGCAGAGCCCAAGCTGGGGATGCCACTGCCAGGGGAGTGATTGCAAGGGAGGATGTTCAGCAGAAAAAGCAGGAGCTACTGGAGTCCAGCCCAGCTGCCTGTGGGCCTTGGAACCAGAGGTGATGGTTTGCTGTGCCGATGGGGAAGGTTGTGCTTGTTCTCTTTGCTCAATAAAAATGAAAGAAAAGCTTAATTTGACTAAAATACAGCAGTTCAAAGCATTCTGCAATGCTTTGAAATGGTTTGTACTTCAGTGGCCCTGGTGCTCTGGAAACCATGACCTTGGTTAATCAAGTCTGCTTGAGGTTGGAAACCAGGAAGCCAGGCCTAACTTATTGAAGAAATGTTGACCAAGGTTAATGAAATTAGGGGGGTTAATCATTCTGGTTTCTAAGCTTTTGTTTTTGTGGGTTTTTTGTTTTGTTTTGCTCTGTTTTTGCGTGGGTGGTGTATAAGTGCATCCATTGTTCATGTGTGTGGGCTTATATACGTGGGTGCCTACATGTAGAGCCCACGGTTGATGTTGGGTGTCTTCCTTAATTCCTCTACACTGTGTTTGAGTCAGGGTCTCTCACTGAGCTCCTTTCATGAGTGATCTCATTTCTCTCTCCCCCTCTTCCCGTGCTCCTTCCCTCCCCTTTGTCTGTTTCTCTACCCTTATTCTTGTTGGTTCTGGGGGTTTGACCCCTGAACATCTTGCAAGGGAGGCGAGAGCTCCACCGTGCCTCAGGTGGTACCATCTTGTCCTTGTTTGGTGTTGAGTAGATTTGTGAGTGTATGGTCATTTCTTCCCGTTAGTGTCCATCTGACTCCCGCTCCCTGCTCCCCCCCTGTCCCCCCACCCTCATCCTTGATGTTGTTATTGTTGGTTGGTTTGGTTCGGTTTTTTTATGAGACAAGGTCTCACTGTGTAGCTCCAGAGCTTGCTCTGTAGACCAGGCTGACCTCGAACTCAGATCCACCTGCCTCAGTGTCCTGAGTACTAAGATTAAAGGGCTGTGCCACCATGCCCAACAGTTTTGCTTTTTAGAAAACAAACAGATTATTTGAGAGGGTGCTGGAGAGAGGGCTCTGTGATTCAGAACACACTGGCTGTTCTTCCAGAGGACCTGAGTTTGACTACCATTACCCATAATGGCAGCTCATAACCATCTGTAACTCCAGTTCTAGGGGATCCAATGCCCTCTTCTAACCTCCACAGGCCCCAAGCAGGCATGTAGTAGACAGACATACATGCAGGCAAATATTCATACACATTAAATAAGACAAATTTGAAAACATTCATGTTGAGTTATGTGTGTGGTGTGTTGTCCTGCCTGTGTGACATACGTACACATACTTGCATGCCCTTGTGGTCTTACTCCTTTATGTCAAAGTGTCACTTTTTATCTTCATCCTGCAAGAATGTAAGAAAGGTGACAGACCTGGAATGTGCAGCATTTCATCCCTGATAAATGGAGAGCTCTGAGTTCTGACTTAGTGCCACCTCTAGCAAGAATGCGTTGCTGGGATCTGGGGAATGGCAGAGATTAACAGCTGCGAAGTGCCTTGGAATTCTCTGTCAGGCTTAGCGCCATCTGGTGGAGTATGAAGTGGGAGCTGTGGGCGGAGAAAGTATCCAGGAATTTTCTCAGTCAGCTCAGCTTCCTGTGCCCTGCCCCTCTCCTGCCTCCCTCCCCCTGTGTTTGTCATCTCTCACAGACTCTGAAGAAGGGAGCAGGGATTCCCTGCCTGTCTTAGAGTTGTACACTGTCAAATGGTCATCGCGTGGAAGTCAGAGGGGAGGCAGGTTTTAGAAGGGTCATCGTGTCCCTGCTCTGTAGTGTCATCTTGAGGGGGCAGAAGGCGATGTATCCTGCAGGGTCTGATGAATTCTGCCCTAGGAAGCTGTATGTTGAGTCCTGGATGTGGGCCTTGCTGAGAACATGGAGGGGAGTGTCGCTGTGTTCCAGCTCTGAGATGAACAGGCCATAGGCAGTTTCATGGCTGTCGAACCCTGGTTCCAGAGCCATGAAACATCAGCTGCTTTCCTCTGTGGGTAAAGCAGCCACAGCCCT